CTGCCGTGGCCAGCGGGGTGTTCTCGTGGCCAGCCTTCGCCTCGGGAGGGAGCTGGCGGGCTCCTCTCTGTTTACGTCGTCACCAAGCTACCGAGATGGCAAACTTGGATTCCGCGACTGCACAGCGTTTCAGAGGCAAATTGATAGGAAAACGTGTTATTATTGGCTACCGGGTTAACGGCTCCGTTGGCAGGAGTACCAATCCCGCGTGGCGTTGCTGCCGCGGGCGTGAGAATGGCGCGACGGGGTAGAGAGGCGGGGAGGGGGGGTGCGTCCTGCACAGCGTGGGGGCCCGGGGACCCTCCCTCCCCTGCTAGGCTGTGCCTTCGTGGAGGATGCTCAGCCCGGTTGGCCTTTGCTGAAACCAGGACCAGAGCGGTTGAGACACCAGCTTCTGGTCACACAGTGAGTCCAGGCCGGGGTTGGCTCTGAGGTCCCTGGGGGAACGGATAGCTTGACCTGTGACCTCTGAAGGCAGGGCCAGAGCCTCCGCTCTGCGCATCCCGTGGGCATCGCAGGAATTGGGGTTTGGAAGGGACCCAGGGGAGCCCGTTCGGACTCGGGGTCCCCGCTGGGCCCCCTGCCTTCCTCCAGGTTCCCCCGGCTCCTGGCTTGCTGGCTGTGGGTCTGCTAGGCGTCACCTGTCACTGTGGAGAGCAGCACCCCCGTCTTCCCCCATCCCCCCTTCTCCCGTAGCTTCCCGGGGCCGCCTGGCCGGCAGATGGAGTGAGCGCTGCGTTCTCCTTCTCCCCGCTTTGCCGCGAGGCTCGCGAGGGGAAGGACTGTGCTGCTCACGACGACCCGTCCCGGAGCCGGTGCAGGGCGGGCCGAGGAGGCCCCGGTGGTGTTTGCCGAAGGAATAAAAGAGCGTAAACTGCAGTGTCACTGAAACAAGTGTCTGCCATGCCCCACGGGACGGCTTCCCTCTCCTCATGAGACGGGGTGCGTGGGAGCGCGTGGGGGGCTCTCGTACTCCTGTCCCGCGGGGCGGCCCACAGGTGGCCCTGAGGGCTCACGTGACGTCATTTCTTCTCGCCGAGGAAGCTCGTAGGGAATGAGCTCCCCATCACCGGGAGGGACCAAACCTGGTGACAGAGGGGATGTGAGGACCGAGGGGGGGCGCCCTCGCCGGCCTTCTGTGTTTGGGTTCCGTGGTGGCTCCGTGGGAAGACAGAGGGCTCGGCTTCCAATATCACGTGACAGCGCCACCTCCTACTCCACCCGGGGATGTGGTGTGAGGACGTGGCTGGGGGGGGGTGTGGCTCGGACAGAGTGGGGAGCCCTGCGGTGACCCAGGGGCTCCCAGCGCCTCCTCTCTTGCTGCCACTGATCTGGAAGCGACACGCGGTAATACGTTCACGGAGCGTCTCCCGCGTGCCCGGCGCTCGGCCAAGTGCTTAACCTGGATTATCCGGTTTAATCCTCCACCGCCAGTGGCGGCGGCGGCGGCAGCGTCCTCTGCCCGGGCGACCCCTGCGTGAGGCTTAGTGAGGCCCAGTAACGGACCCGTCACCCAGCTGGCCCGGGGCAGGGGGTGCGGGACATGCACCCAGCCTCCTCTGGCTCCGGGGCTTCCCGGATGCAATCCTGACCCCCTAGGACGCAGGCTCCGCGGGCGGGGCGGCACCCGGAGAGCTGGCCTGGACTGGAGCTCAGAGAAGGAACGAACGAAGGAATGAATGAAAGGGGTTTCCCAGGGTGAGCAGGGAGTGCTCACTCTCCTCCGGGGAGGGAAGGGGAACCCCAGGGCAGAGGGTGAGGGAAGGGGTGACACGAGTGTGCTTGGCCGGCCCCACTCCCTCCCAGAAACACTCGCAGGGGCCGCTGGGCTGTGTTTCTCGTGGAGCGCGCACTTGGTCGCTGGGTAATGAGGTGGGAGGTGAGTTTTGGAGATGCCTGGTGGGGAAGACACGCATGCTCATGCATGGATGTGGGCACGCTTACACACACACACACACACACACACACACACATACACACGCACACGCACACCCTCACCCAGCCGCGTGAGGGATGCCTCCTTCCACAGACAGATATACCCCCCACCCCCCACTCCAAATCACAGTGCTGAGTCTGTCCCTTTAAGAGTGTGGAGTCTCAGTTTATTATCTTATTACATCTCTGTATTTGTTGAGCGCTGGTCTGAATAAATAAAAGCCCCCCGCCCCCCCACCCCCAGGGTCTCCTCGTTCTAATGCATTCCTCCGGGGACTCAGTTCTCCATCCCTGCCCCTCTGCCCCCCACCC